TGCTGTTCAGTGCCTGAAAAATGCTAATTATCACCATTCATTAGACTGCACAGCATTTCCCTGAAGTAGATTCACTTCCTGACAGTTTATTGCATGGAGTTTTATTTCTATTGATTCGAGGCACAGGAATTTGGTGGAATTTGTCACTCCGAATTGAGCTTGTAAAGTGGATGCCGTTTGTCACAGGGGCATCAGTATCATCTTGAGGGAAGCTCCTCCTGGAAAAAAAATGTTCCTTTTTTGTTTTGCATTTATCTGTGGGTGGCATCCCTGCCCATGACAGGGGGATGGAACAGGATGATCTTTAGGGTCCCTTCCAACCCAAACCATTCTGTGATTCTGTGAAATATAATCCATGAGACTACAGGCAGCAGTGTTTAAGGGGAGATTATGGCAGCAATTTACTCCAAAAACTTGCTTCGTATTTATTAAATACATGAATAATGTTAAGAGCTAATTTAAAAGCTTCAAGCTTTAGAAATGTTCGATGTAATTGTTGCTTAATGGGGTGAAAAGACTGCACAATAAACTTGCAAATGTAAATGCCCATCTCTGTCTACTGATCCACATGAAAAAAAATATTATTTGTCCATTTCTTCTTGTTCTGCATCACAGTATCCTAATTGCCTGACAGTTAGGTGATACTGATATTTGCATCCTTAGAAACTGTGTTGGAAAAGGACTGAGCTGGGAGTCCAGTGGAGGAACAGGCTGAACCTGAGCCTGCTGGAGCAGTAGTGAAAGGAGAAGGGCTCATTAGCTCCCTTCCACATCCCTTCCCCGTTTAGAAAGCTCTGTCCCCTTCCAACCTCTTTCCTGAATTGCCCCCACCCTCCACTCCAAATTACTCCTTCCTTCTCCCCCACCTTACAGAACCGGCTGTGTTGCTGCTGAAAAGACCTGTGCAGGCTTTGGGGATAACTTCTCCTGCATCCATGAAGTTAAGTGCTCCTCAAGAGCATCTGCATTTCAGAAATGCAGCTGTGTTACTGGTACCTCTTGGTCTTTGCTGCAGCACAAGAGTATGTGGGCCATAGCACTGTAAAATGTTTGTGGCATTCCTTGGGATCATGGGGTGGGAGGGAGAAGGAAAGGAGCTGCTCTGTGATAGCAAAACCAATAAATGAGACTGTCAGGTGGAGAAATACAAATTTCTACAATACACTCTAGTTTCCTTCAGAACAGACACTTCTGGATTTCATTACTGGCCCAGAAGTGTTTAGTCTTGATGAGGATGAAGACAAACCACAGCAAAAAAAATCCTGAGTGGATGGTGGGAGTCACAGGCTGTGAAAACTCCATCCTTGGAGATGTTCTCAGCTCAGCTGGATGTAGGACCCAGCACAACAGGGCCTAAATTTGGCATTGGACCTGAATTTGAATTTGGCCCTGCTTTGAGCAGAGCATTAGACCAGATGATATCAAGAGGTGCCTTCCCACAGAAAGGGTTTAAGAAGGCTAAGATTGTTTAGAGGAAAAATAAAGGGTTTGTACATATAAATATATATATATATATATACACTTCTTATATCTCATCATACACTTGTACTCAGGTCAAAATCCCTGTGTAAGCCAGAGCTCTCCATGGCAGGTTTTAAATTGACAGCTGTAGTGGGTGGATTTGGGGAAGAGGCTTTATATTCCAAATAACAAATAGAACCAATTTCTGCCTTAAATACAGCACCAATATGACTTCACAGAGCAACTTTAGATGCTAATCTGATGTAGAATAACCCAACCATCTACACATACACACAATTTTTAAGGCAACAACTGATTTTCCGTCCTCCTCTCCTGCTTTAAGCTGCACTACAACTGCAAGCTTTATAGGATAGAATTATTCTGGAGGCATTAGTAGTAAAATCAAGCCGTCCATGAGATATGTGGGCAAGTAAATGCCAGAGGTAGTTAAGCTTAAAAATAAAGCAAACTGAAGAAACACCTTTGTTATACAGACTTAAAAGAAAGTGCATAAAAGAAAGTAGTACTTAAAAACCAGAGTTGGGCAGAAGAAAAGAAGCTGAGGAGCTGGTATATATCAGCACTGCCATTCAGGTCTGCACCTAAGTAAATAACTACGGTGTTCCTCATCTCACCCTCTCAGCTGCACCTCCCTGCTCTAATCAATGCATTTAAAAAGATTTTACAGAAATTACTGTTGTCCATTTAATCCGGGTGACCATCCAATAATTTAACAAAGAAAGGCTTTGAACTACAAATGAGTGGTGGGACTGAGATGCTGCCGTGTGCACTGCAGGGATTGTTTCCATCAGTCCTGTTGCCTCAAAATGAAAGACTTGGGAAACAAATATTTCTATTCCTTTCCAAATAGAATGACCAATAGATTGTTTTCCTGCTTGGAGCTTCTAAATCTCTCTTTGTATGTATGGACTTTTTCTGTCTGAGGAGCTTTATCTGGTTTCCTTTCCGGGTCACACATCACCACTGCTTTCAAAGCCTCTCTTCCCATACACAAAGCTCATGCTCCTACCACATCCCCTCTGTTTTCTGCAGCATCAGATGGTGCAAGTCTTCTGTTTTGAGTGGCAACTTGTGTTGTTTCTAGGTGATGTAATTTATAAAGAAGGTGTGGAATTGCTCCTTCTTTTCCGCTTGAAGAGTGCTCCGTCCTTCTGCTGGACATAACCAGCTATGGAACTTCTGCACCGTGTACAACACTGCCTTGGTGACAGCCATTAAATTCTTCCAGTAGAGCTTTTCTCTTTCTCGCTTCCTTTTCTTTACATACCAATTAAAAAAATCCTGAAGAACATTTGTTTAAAACTGTTCCAGACTCTCAAATGTGTCTCTAAACACAAATCTAAACTTTTCCCAGAGAGCTTTTAACGTGCCACTGCTGGTACAACATTCTGGTATTGCCACATCTTGTAAAATTCCATCTAGAATTGCACAGTTTTGTCAGGACTGGCTGATTTCTGCTTTAATTTTCACTTACCTCCAAATCTACGTAAAATAGTGCAAGTTAGTGCCGTCAGCCTGGTGCAAGTTGCAGTGAGTAGCTGAAGTGATGAAGCCGCTGGCAGCTTGCAGCATGACTGGCTTTTTGAGAGTGAAGGAAGCCTGCTTGTATTCCCACAAAGAAATCCAACTTCCCTACTTTTGAAGCACTCAGTCCCTTTAATTACAATTTCTGCAAAGGAAGTGTTTTACCTGTGTCTAGAACCAACCAGCAGAGGTTGCCATTGATTTTTCCTGTTACCTACTCAGCAGAGCCTGGATTTCTTGTACCAGAGCTGAAATATTTGGCTGCCACTAGGGCTCGTTGTCAGAGTTGGGCACTCTAGGCACACACAGCGGGCACCAGCTGGGGCTGACCTGGGAACAAGGTGACTCAGTGGTCGCTGTGACATCTGGGAGCTTTAGTAGTTCCCAGTCCTCAAATCTGTATGGAGCAGGATGCACTGAGCATCCTGTGGTCCACTTTATGTCACGCTTTACCTTTGCTTAGCTGATGTGCCCTTGTGCCTTTGGGGCTTTCTAATGTCCATTTTAAGGTGTTCTGGCCCTTTATGTCCCTGGTGCCAACGAGCCAGCCCAGGGAGGGGGTGGAGAAGTCCGGGTTTCTGCCATGCCTGTGCTCACCGTTGTTGTTCTCCTCCTCCCTCACAAGAGTGAAAAGAGGAGGAATAAAAATTGCTCCCTGTTATTCTGCCCATGGTATGGATAGCTCAGGCTTAGGCTGTGCTCAGGGGCTAAATTTAGTCGTTAAGTCTATTGTTTCAGCCATTTGCCATTCTGAGGTATCAGAGCAAGTTTAATATTTATTAAATCCTCCGATGGAAGACTTTGGAATGATCACACGCCCTTACTGCAAACCACTCTTACATTGCTGCAGTTTGTGCTGCCTCACATTGCTACAGACTTGTCATTCAGCCTTGAATATTCGCTCCAGGCAGTACTCGAAATACAAGATGTTAACCCAGGAGCAGCTTATTAAAATTTTGCCTGTGGTTTGCCTGGGAACTGAAAGGATTTAAATCATTGTAGTTTCTAATGACTTAGTTGGTTAAAGCCTCCAGTACCATCCCTGACACATCTTTTGCTGATCGATAGCCCAAAATGCTGTTCTGTGGTTGGTATTTTGGTACCTAAAGCTGCTGTTTCAGTGTCTAAGGACGCACGGCGTGGCTGTGTGAGGTAACTTTGATGGTTGTACTTCTGTGACTGGGTTTATTTTCGGAAAGCACGAAGTGAACAAAAGTTCTGAGTCCTTAGTCAGGGAATAGCAGCATCTGTTTGCAGGAGTAGAGCGCTCAGTTAATTGGGTTAAGTTTGGAAAGTAATGTGCTACTCACAAGTATTTGTATTTAAACTGATGTTGAAGCAGTTAGAGATTGGTACAGTATTGAAACCAGGAGCAGATGAGTTTTATAATCTATATATTGAGGATGGAAGTAATTAATTAGGGGAAGTAATTAAAAAGGGGGGAGGGGCTGTAACTGTCTTTTAAGCAAGACTAGAAAATTTGTGTCAAACCAGGGCAGGTATTTCGCCAAGCAAAATTGTAACACCTTTGCCGAGGTATTAAACCTCCGCAGGTGACGCCTGAAAAGTGCACCCCGTGGCTCCCGGAGCGGAGCCCCTCGGCTGCCCCGGCTCGGTGCGGCGGGCTCCGCTCCGCTCCCTCCTCCCCGCCGCCCTTCCCGGTGCCAGCGGCGGCGCCATTGGATGTTCCGGGAGCAGGGAGCGGCAGGCACCGCTCCAGCGCCGGCGGGCTGCGGCGGCGGGAGGAGGAGGAGCAGGAGCAGGAGCCGGGAGCGGGCTCAGGTGCAGGCACCGCTCGCACGGGGGAAGCAGCGCCAGCCGCTCCAGCCGCACCGCGCTGACAGAGCTCCCCGGCAGAGGATGCGTGTAGGTGAGAAAGCTTCTCTATTGCTTTAGCGGGGAATTAGAGGAAGGAGTGATTTTTTTTTTTGATATCGTTGCATTATAGACAAAAGGAGCGAATAGCCGGAAATATTCTGGGATGTTATAAAACCTAAAAGGACTTTACAGCGTGGTGATACAAAACAGGAAATGAACTCCAAAAAGAACGCTTTCTCTCAAAGTACTGCGACAGAATTGAACCAGCTCTTCTGGTGTCTGAAATTCCTCCCGAAGACACGGCAAGGACTATTAAAATCATCCGAGAGATCCCGGTACTTTTAAAGAGACTTAAAGCAAATGCCAGCGTAATATCTGAATGACCTTGGAGATTATTTCATGTGGATTCATTAATTTTCACTACCAGTCTTCTAGTCTCAGGAACTCTAGGATTAAAGATGGTTTTAACGTTTTAGGGGCCTTTCAAAAAACAAGATTGTATACATTTAAGTACCTGCCTAATGGTTCCTGAACTAATCAAGCATTTACTTAGAACTGAACACAGAAGATCCTTTCTTTTAACATTTTCTCTCTCCATAACTTTGACTAAAATGAACAAGGTAATGTCCTGCAATTAGAAGAGCATTTCTTTTAAAGCAATTATTTATGATGCTGATCATCTAATAAATACAGAAACCCTAAACCCCTGAGAAGATGAAGCTGAATAACAGATTAATGAAGTAGTAAACAATGGCAGCTTTTCTAGTCAAATCAGCATTTCATTAGCTTCCCAGCAGAATGCAGATGGAAGTTTCTGAGCTCGTTGTGTGGGGGTTTGTGAAATGATTCAGGTGTTGCTACAGAGGTGAGCAATATCATGGCTATACCTATGAAATCCTGGGTACTGATCCGCTGTAGCAGATATGGCAGAGTTTCCAAAGATGATTATTTTAAATTGGCGTTGCTGAAATTAAATTCAAGAGGATTTATTTTGTCTCTGGGGACATTGAATTATGGGTCTCACATTAATAATTGTAATGGACTATAACTGTTTGAAGGAACTGTGAATATTGACATAAGTCTCCAAATTCTAATCTTAAATTATTTTCATTTTAAAGTGAATAGACACAATCTTCCTCATTGTATGTTAGATGTATGTTTTCTTTCTTAGGAGTCAGAGGACAAGTCTGCCTCATCCCCCACCCATCTCCCTCCAAATAAAATTCATTTTTAATACCCAAACAGTGGTGAGTCTATTGGAATTAACCTTGACAAAAATGTTTTCCTTACCTTTCCAATGAATAGCACAGATAAGACGGAATACCATCTCCCGAATGGAACCAGGAAAGACAGCATTAGAGGATGAACTTTTTCCTTTAGTTTTCAGTCAGTTTGTGATTTAAACTGAGACATTATAAAGATTATCTCCAGTAACTGCTGGTCCAGGAAACCTGAGCTGTACTGAGGTTCCTCCTTCCCTTCCTCCCCCTCTCGTCAGTATATTCCAAAGCAAAGGACTTTCTCAGGAAAATAAGCAGTCAGAGATTTCCCTCCCCTCCTTCCCTGGGAAATGAATGTGTCCCTTTTGTCAGTTTTTATTTCTGTATTTCTGGGTACCTACTTGTTTTAGAAGTGCCTTGTGTTTGCTAAAGATGAGTCAAGAGCACTGGAGGAGCTGATCAGTGGCCTTTCTCTTTCTGGCTTTTGTTTTTCTTTTCTTTCTTTGTTTCTTTCCTTAAAGCCAAGGTGTGCCAGAGGTGATGCACTGATGCTGAGGAGGCATCAACAGCTATGGGACTGTAATCCCCTCCCATGTAAGCACTGGCAGTGTCTGCAAAGAGAGATCTGGAGTCGCTGGAGCAGAGTTTAGCTGCTGTTCAGCAGGTCACCTGCTCACTCAGGCTCAGATTGCAGTGTTCCCTAAGCACAAAGCATGAACCAGTCCCGATGGATTGAATGGAGGACTCTGAATATGAGCAGTAGTGTTACGAACATATCTGAGCACCTCTCCTGCCCTCTTGGATTTGGTCACTACAATGCAGTTGATGTCTGTATCCTTGAGACAGTCGTTATTGTCTTGCTCACATTTTTAATCATTGCGGGTAACTTAACTGTGATATTTGTTTTCCACTGTGCTCCACTCCTGCATCATTACACCACCAGCTATTTTATTCAGACCATGGCCTATGCTGATCTTTTTGTTGGAGTCAGCTGCTTGGTTCCTACTCTGTCACTGCTCCACTACCCGACAGGTGTCCACGAGTCCCTGACTTGTCAAGTTTTTGGATATATCATCTCTGTGCTCAAAAGCGTGTCTATGGCATGTCTGGCTTGCATCAGTGTGGATCGCTATCTCGCTATAACAAAGCCTCTCTCCTATAACCAACTGGTCACCCCTTGTCGCTTGAGAATCTGCATTAGTTTGATCTGGATATACTCTTGCCTGATCTTCTTGCCTTCCTTTTTTGGTTGGGGAAAACCTGGTTACCATGGAGATATTTTTGAATGGTGTGCTACCTCCTGGCTAACTAATGCCTATTTCACTGGCTTTATTGTGTGCTTACTCTACGCTCCTGCTGCCTTTGTCATCTGCTTCACCTACTTCCACATCTTTAAGATCTGCCGGCAGCACACCAAAGAGATAAACGATCGGAGAGCTCGCTTTCCGAGCCACGAAGTGGATGCTGCTGGGGACACCGGGCACAGCCCCGACCGCCGCTATGCCATGGTTTTGTTTCGGATAACCAGCGTGTTCTACGTGCTGTGGCTCCCCTATATCATATACTTCCTGCTGGAGAGCTCGAGGGTGTTGGAGAACCCCGCATTCTCCTTCCTAACGACATGGCTTGCTATAAGCAATAGTTTCTGCAACTGTGTGATCTATAGCCTCTCCAACAGCGTTTTCAGGCTGGGACTGCGGAGACTGTCGGAGACAATATGTTCATCTTGCACGTGTTTGAAAGAGAGGGATGTGCGGGACCCTAAGCCGAGGAAACGGGCTAACTCCTGCTCCATTTAGAGACAACGGGCGCATGTAATCAAATGCGGAGTTTCAGTAGTATCTGCTGTGTCTGGAAACTGACCAGAGAGAAATGTTTACTTGAACAGCTTGCCGTGGTGTTAGAGGGAGTTTACAAGGGATTGTGGAAAAGGAAAAGGCTGCTGTGAGAGGGGTCACTGGACTCTGGGGGAATTGTGAGGAGAGCAGTTCCACAGAGGCGATGAAGAAAGTCAGGACTAAAAACCTTCCAAAGGGCATGAAGTAACTACCAGTAACTATCAGAGGAGGTTCCTCATAAAATAAATAACTTAGTTACTACCTTATGTTTTACCCCTTGTAGACAAGCTGTCCTACTATCTTTGTGTCAGAATATACTGTAGCCTTCTGAATCTCAATATATTTAAGAGGAAGCAATCAACATCACAGTAAGCAGCTATCCATAAACTATATACCTGAGGACTGTAGTAGATACTGCAGGTTAATAATCAGCTCTGTCTCTGCTCACATGCTGTACAATTTTCAGTTGTACAATGCATAAACCCTGCCCTGGGCATGATGCTTTGGGATTAACTGGCAGGTTTTGGTACCACTGTCAGAGAAGCTCTCCCTCTCCTTCTCATTTCCCCTCTTTTCCTCCATGCTCTGCATCCCTAGATTCCATTGCGTCCAGGGGAGTTTAGTTTGAGGGCACCTACAAGGTAAACTGAGTTTCAGACCATTATTCCTGCAGAAAGCACAAGCCCTTCCTGGCTGGCTGAGTGACTGCAGCTGCAGTGTCCAAGGACTCCTTCAGTCGATCCCGTTAAATCAGCACACGGTATCTATGTAGTGTCCTTTAGGGTGTACTAAAGCTTTTCCTTATTGGCTCCACAGACACTCCTAATGCAGAGATGATAATGGCACATAGCAGTGTGTCAGCACTGCTTGGAGAATTCAAACTAACCAACCCTTCTCTTTGGGAAGTCTAAATTGCTCACTGTTGTAGCTGTCAGTCCATCGTGTGAACCTCGCTTGCACATACTGTACTTTTTTTATTTTTTTTTTAAGGGAAAACGTAAATTGTGGTCTGTGCCTAATGTTTTCCTAGCACATGGAATAGGTCAATGCTACAGGGTTAAAAAAAACACTTGCTTTAAGAGAAACACTTCTGTGCCGTTGTTGAATAGCTGTTTGTTAGACAAGTGTTCTCAGAGGAGGTGAACAAGACACCTGTCTAAAGTTTAGTGTTAATTACAGGCCAAGAGCTTCAGTATTTCCTTTTGTACTGAACTGACTTTCAGGTCCACTGATGAAATCTTTCTGATTTTGCAAGGGCGCACATTAGGTTTGTGTAATAAGTTGCCAGGGGTTCAGATGCATGCCAGTCGATACAATATTTAAATTATGATTTTGAGCCAAATGTAATTTTCTTGGATGGTTATTGGCTTTTAAAAAGGACCCAATTATTGATTATTGGTGCCTTTTAACACTGCACTATTATTCCTTCTTTCACCAAAATGCATATGTAAAGATTGTGCCTATTACTTTTTGTAATGGAAGCTGACCACCTGTGCACACTTGTGGTTTGACTCTAGAGCTCCCTTAATTCTGTACTCTTTGTTCTGTTGAGGTGGTTCTGAACCCCTGTACATTTTTTTTAAACCTGTAAGAAAGTTGAAACAATGGAATAAAGTAGTATTATGTCTATCAAACCCAGCCTTGGCGTTAGTTCCCTGATGTCACCCTCTGTTCTCTGTGAAAATTCTTTTGGGTGAAGGATTTCAAATCCAGACCTCAAAGCTGCTCACCTGTCTAAAACTGCTGTCTAAAACGTTCAGATACCAGTTTCTGGCATTGCACAGTTTTCAAAGCAGGTTCAAACATGACTTCAGACATTCCTCGAGCTGAGCCGAGCTGTTGCTGACAAGCAGCTCTCGTAGATATTAGGGAAAAATAAGTCCTGTCCTTCGCATGGATCTGCTAATGCTCCATGTCTGCAGGAACGTGTCTGCTGCCTTCTTGTGACAAGTTGCTGTTTATTTCAGAAGGCTCTTTTTGGCTGACTGCTGCTCTGTAAGGTTGTGTAACCCTGGCTGTTCTTACAAACACAGCTTGGGTTCACTTCACTTTGTCATTAGTGTGTCATTGTGTCCTGCTCAGTAGGCCCTCGGTGTGCAGGGCTCAGGTGAGGAGCAGTGAAATACCTCATTTCTCACTGTTCCCAGGACTGCTTTCGTACCAGTAAAGTCATTTCATACCTGTGCTCCGGCGCTGGCCGTTTAATGCTTCTGCTTTTCATTGGCACTTTGGGGGACAAGTTTCGGTGGGACCTTCTGAAATTCAGGAGAAGGTCTAGGAAGTGCCTGAAGTTGAATTAACATTCCTCTCTACCATGTGGAGCTGTCAGGTGGAACTGGAGATTTTCTTTTCCCTCAGGCTGCTCTTGGAGGCAGAGAGTATACTAGAAATCCAATACCCTGCAAAGAACTTGTAGGTTCCAAGGTTCTTCACCCCCTTTTTTCATTTTTTTTTGTTGAATATTGTTGCTGCAAGAACATTAATTCACTTACCTGGACGCTGAATTTCAGCTGCTGTAAAATCACATTTCAAACTGTTCTCTATAAATCTCCTGGCATCTGTCAAATTATACATCCTCAGCAGACTTAAATATTGCTTTTCTTCTTGCTGTTTCCCAGGTGACAGGATTTGACCTGGTGCTTGGTCGCATGAATCTTTTAAATTTAGTAAGTGTGTTTCATTTTTTGGAAGTGTTTTCTGAACTCATGATTTAAAATTTTTACTTGAGGGAGGTTTGTTATTATTTTACTAATGCTGTCGGGGGGTTCCAGCTGGTGCTAAATTCTCTTCCAAAATCATAAGGCTGGGCGTTTTAGTGGATTAAAGGAGTCACAGAAATTCCAGTCCCCCGATCTGTCATTTTTGATTTACATTCTGTCATTATATGAAGTCTCATGTTTTTGTACAAAAATCTGATTAAAGAATGAGACTTTTAAAGCTGGCATTTGGAGTACACATCCCACTTTCATGTGCCTGAAGATCTTTTTGATTTGTGAAATACCTGGTAAATAGGTGAGCAGAGACTAACTAAAGAAGTTGAGAGGAAAAATATGTTGTTGATAACAGAGGTGATAAAAAGTAGGCATAAGAAGAAAATATATGTAAAATATTAAATGAAAAAATGAAGAGATAGACCTAATAGATAAGTAAAATAAATATATATCCAAACCCCTCCTTTTTGCAGGTAGTTTATATTGTGCTCTTGCATTTCTCTTGAATACTTCTGTTTGCAGTGCCCCAGAGGCAATGTCAAGGGCGATTGCCTCACCATTTTTGGAACCTCATGTCTATCAGCCTCAGGAAAAGTCCTAAAAATTGTGTGATGGCAGCAAAAGCACTGTCACAAAAGTAATCTTTCCTTTACCAAATTTGATGTGCTTCCTTATTTTCTGGAATGGCTAAGAGATTTTCTCCTTAAAATACTATTCTTTAAAGGGAAGAGGAATTGTAGTGATGAAAAGCACGTTGATGTCTTTTAAAAGTTTACTTATTGTCCTAAAGTAAGATATTTTTCCCCTTGCTTTTGCTTAAGAATCCATTTTGTAGCTGTACTTGGTCAAGCACGAGATATTGTGCAAGGTTTATTTTTGTACTGCCTCTGCTGAAAAGTTGAGAAAAGTTGCTTTACCTTTCACAGATACAGTTTAGGAAGACCTTTTAGAATTCTTGGTTTTGTGATTAATTTAAATTCATTAGTGTTTGTCAGTGGAATATCCATAAGCATACTTAGTTTTTGCACTCAACAAAAGTAGTAAAATGTCCTTTTTTGGGTAAATGACCCCAACGGTCGATATTCCAGTTGACACGGAATGAGGAGTTCCGTCATTATCGATCTCATCGCGGTGTGGAAGTACTTTCTCTTCCCGTGTGACAGTTGGAGCTAAACTTGTAAATACACTGAGGTTTTATTTTCTAAAGCTGGCGTCGGACTGCTGAGGATCTGTAAGTCCCCAAACCGCTGGGAATATCCCTTTAACAGCTCCCCAGCTCTGTTGCAGCGTCCCTGGAACACGATGGTCCTGGAGCTGAGTTTGCCAGGGAGCAGTGCCAGAGGTTCAGCAGGCCAGTGTTGCCGCGGGGGAGGAGTGTCAGTGAAGGTGGCAGTGGTCTCCCCAGCCATCCAGCAGGATCAGCTAATTTGCAGATCTTTCAATTTTATTGTTGTTGTCACCAAAAGGAGAAGTTCAAGTCTTTGACTTAATCCCTGTCACCTGTTCCCTCTGACTCCTTTTTTTTTTATGGATGCAGTAGTGCATCGTTTTGCTGAAGAACTGAATTAGATTGATTTGGTTGGGCTTTTTTGATTGAAATACTTCATGTATGTCATGTGAATGGCCAAACCAAAGGTGAATTTGTTAACAAGATGCCGATGAATTTCTATGCCTTTCCAGAAATGGCAGCATCACTGAGGTAGTTTTCCTGTCACCTGCAGCATTGCCTGGAACATTGCTTAAAGATTTTTGCTAACCAAATGGAGTTCACGTAATGCCTGATTTTCCCCCCCTGTTTTACATAGACATGTTTAAATTTTTTTAAAGTTATGTACTGAATTTATATACACAGGTCTCTGCAGTCATTTTTCATTTGTCAACAGAAGTCTTTGCCGTTACAACTGATGGGGTAAAAGTGATGTAGAAGGGTATTTAAGAGGAGCTTCCTTCCTGCAGACACTGATCTCTGGTGACCAGGGACAGGACCCCAGGGAATGACCTGGAGCTGTGTCAGGGCAGGGTCAGGCTGGATCTCAGGAAAAGGTTCTTCCCCCAGAGGGTGGTTGGGCACTGACCAGGCTCCCCAGGGCAGTGGGCACAGCCCCAAGGCTGCCAGAGCTCCAGGAGGGTTTGGATGATCCTCTGGGGCACCGGGTGTGACTTTTGGGAATGAGTCTGTGCGGGGCTGAGGGTTGGACTGGAGGATCCTTGTGGGCCCCTCAGCGATTTTTGCAGTCATTCTACAGTGCAATGATTCCCTTCCCAATCTAATATTTGGACAATCCTCTGGGCTCCGTGAGCTGTAAGTGCTGAAGGAGTGGGATGTGAATGGAGAGGAAGC